GACACGGTATTCCTCTTTTGCTTTGTACCCACCACGAGGCTGCGCGTTAGAACCCGAAGCCTGACAAAGCGGCACGCTAATTGCCCCTCCTGGCGCGCGTGTGCACATGCTTTTTGTTGGAGAGCGGCCACTTGGCCTGGCACATCTCCTGCTCGGCGTCACGTCAAGGTCTGCCTCGTCAGGGCCCTGGCGCCACGTCCTAGTTCCCTCGGGCACGTGCGGCAGGCCTTGGGACGCGATGCTAGTGGGAAATGCAGGTAATGGGACTGGTGTGCGTGCCGCGCGAGAACCAACCTGATTGGTACATTAGCCGTGGCAGCGTTTAGTGAAGACGCACTGCGTTGCTGGGTCTGCAGTTGTGTGAAACATTTCGCTAAGTTCTGTACGACTTGTTCATTGTGTATGCACGATATCGCGAGTCAGTAATCACACAGCGGTTGCCTAATCAGGCATTTGGTGTCAGTGGCACAGAACCATTAAATGTGGTGCAACTGGACGCATATTTATGAATTGGATTGCGTTAAACACTTCGAGGTACGATGCACGGCGCGCCAAGAAAAGTGTTGGTATAAAAGGGATTCTCCCAGCCTGACGTCTTACCAACCGATGCTGCACTGCGTCGATCCTGTGCTACCTTCACAAGTAAAACACCAGCATCAAAGGCTCCTTTATTCGAAATCCACGCGCCCGGCAAAGCAATCCAGGGGCAATGAGTAACATCTTAAGTAAGCAAAACCAGCCGAAAGCCTTTTGATGGGTTCGAGAGCATCACAAAATATTTATACACTGCCGACTAGTCGAATCACGTGCAACACGAGGACAGACAATGCCATCACAATGACCTTCAACATGATGGCCGTGCTCCTTAACACGGTCCGCCAGTGTCAGCAGTGTGCATCTACCGACACGTTGGTTATCCACCACATGTAAAAATAGCGACACGATTCATAGGCATAATGACGCAACATATGCAACACAAAACGATCATTCGAGCGGGCGTCAGGTAACAGCAGCTATCCTGTAACCGAGCTTGCCATCGCAAAGACGAATATTATTCGCGACAACGCCTCTCGTTGTTCTGCCTCACTGACCACTCACTAACCAAGGTACTTTTGGTCTTGGCGTCTTTTGTTGTTCGAAATGATTTGATAACAAGCCCATGCCACCCACCGTCACTCCCCATCTTTTGCTCCAAACAACAACAAACGAAGCACACTGGCCTCTGAATGCGACTAGATTTCTTGAGTAAGGACTGACCAGCAGCCAGGCGGCCATATCCTCAAGATGAAGGTTGCATTGCACATCATGAAATATCAGTCATTCAGCACAACGGAGAGCAAGTTTGTCCTTTACTTCTTTCAATTCCAATTTTTTCCGACAGTTGCTCTTTCTTTATCTCCGTCCACACTCTTCCACTCACCCACACACCTGAAAAGCGGAAGAAAACCCCTGTAATGTAGCCAGTTGCGAGTCCAACAAAACATACCTATCACCTCGTGCAATGTAAAAGCGGACAACTGCCAACTGACATGCACCTATGGCCCAACAACAAAAGCCTTCAAGTTCTGAAAACTTAGCACGCGGCCGCCTACCCAGAATGGTTGCCAAGGCCGAACCCATCCCTTAGTGCCAGCCGCTGGTGTTAAGGCCTGCTATATCTTTGCTGAGTGGGTGCTGAACGGGTGTTGTTTGGCCAAACGTACGCCAAAACTGCATGCGAATTTGAAAACTTCGCAAATTTGACGCACTTTATATTCAGAGCTGAGGGATGATCTTAAAGCTGTGGATTGAGCAAGAAGTTAAGAGGAGAGTCTGCAGACCTTTCCAACTCCCCACAAACACATATCTCTGGAGGCTTCTGCTAGTCTGCCCCCACCACCCTTCGCCACCGGCCAGCTCTGGACAGCGACGGGACCACGTAGCCAGTCCGTCTCGAGCCAGCCGCGCTGTCCGCCGCGACGCGTCACGTCCGTCGCCGGACGTCGATCCATCTCGCCGACGCGCGCGGCGCGCCGCACGCGGTTTTTGTCACCGTCGGTCGCGCCGTGCATGCGTTCCGGCGCCTCGGGGAGAGGGGAGGGGATGGCGCCACCCGCGCCGGACGATGCCGCTCCTTCTCCGCCTGGCGCCGCCGCTCCGGACACGCAAAAAAGCCGACGTGCTCGGCGTCTCGGCCCCGGCCTGCGCCGCGGCGGCGAGGGGGACAAACGAATGAATAGCTAATTATCTCGAGAGACGACGGCGCCACGAGCCGCGCCGTGAGCCAGGACGCGTCCGGAAAGCGCCTCTGTTTTGACACCGGACTTCCTGCGCGAGGAGACAGTGACAGGCGGGCGCGACAGTCGTGTCTGAATGCAGCACGCTGTGACGTCACGCCGGCGGGTGGCTGCGAATCTGGCGGCGAGGAGCTCAAGCCGGCGCGGCGATGAATCGCGCCGGCCGGCTCCAGCTGATGACGTAGCTGCGGCCCGTACTCCGGCGATGGGTCTATTCCGGACGCGGCCAGATTACAGTCTCGAAACAGATCTGATTTTCAATTAATAATGCGGCGCTCTGGGCGTGGAACTTTTGAAACGAGGCTTGAAAACGGGCCGAGGTCGGCGGAGGCGCGGGCGGGGCCCGGCTCGCCAGCATGACCGGCCGGCGCACCATCAATCGCCAGTGCGCCGGCCTGGTCGTGACTTTGATGAATTGAACATGGTGATTTCGGGCGTGTGCCGAGCGATGCCACGTCGCCCTGATAACAGTCACTGGCCGGACGGCAGCTGACACTTCTTTGACAATATCCGGCGATCGGTCGAGTCATTCGGCGGAACGGGACGGTTTCATCAGCGCTCGTCGCTGACGGGGACACAGTGAGTAATCACGCAGCTTAATAGCCCGGCGGCCGGCAATCGTGTCACTTGGCTCGACACGGTTGCGACGTCGTCGGCGCGCCGCGCTCGAGCGCCTCGACGCCTTCGATTGGCGGCCTCGCGGTCCATGCTCGTCACGTCAGCTGTGAGCGGCGCGGGACTCATCGGGTTTTCCGCAGCGTCGGAAACATCATCCAAATAAACCGCGACAGCCGGACCTCAATATAGCCCGCGGCACATCAGCTCAGGCTCCCCCAGACAAACCTCCGTGGGCAGCCCCGGCTCAGACGAGGTCCGGCGGCCGGGCCGGCTGGCGCGGCACGCCACCGTGCTCACCGGGTGCGCGGCGGCGGCGACGGCGGCTCTCTGCTATCGGGGCAGTCCGGCGGTCAGCAGCAGGCAGCCGGCGAGCAGGCCCGACGAGGCTGCCGCCGCTCGTTCGGCCGCTCCAGCTGCGGACAGACGGGGCCGGCTCACAGCGCAAACGGCGGCGGCGGGACCAGGTCCCGACTCGGCGCGTTGGTACCGACCCTCAGGTGCGGAGCGCCAGACTCCACACTGACCCGCAGACGCGGTACGGCGTTGTGAGCCCCCAGACGCAGCTCTCAGTTCACTACAAGGACGTGTTCGAAACCAACGTCAGGCGCAATAGTACCTAGATATCCTCATCCGTTCAGGTCCATTCTCGGACACAGTTATCCTGGTGCAGGTCATGTATTACGCTCTGAACAAGCCCCAAGTATGATGCGGGAACGCCAAAACAGACTGGACACAACGCAGTGAGTTCGGCCACACGTCGGGCACTTTGGCGGAGTTACAGTCGGTCACTGCAGATGCGGATGGGAGGCACCTGTTTGGATCTGAGGCACACGACGTTATGTCACGCCTGTGATGGATGGAAAAGACTGTGTCAGAGGCCACCTGCGCCTAATTTGTGTGCGATTTGCATGTTGTTTACACCACCCCGCGCGGCACCCCATCAGGCCTCCCAGCACCGCTAAGCGTCCTCCTATACAACCCCTCCCAACACGGCCGCCCGATCTGAGCCCAGACCCGTGCCGGTGCGGCCCGCGGAGGCCAGGGTTAAACGTGTGAACCTTCGGCCGTTCCGTTTACCAGTGGCCGGTCGGCGGGCGGCGGGCGGCAGGCGCTATTATCGCAGGGTGAGTGGGCCAGGCAGCCGTCGACAGCCTGGGCGGCGATTGGACCGGGTCAAAACGGGGGTCAAGCCTGGTACGGATTACGCTTTAACGAGCGGCAGCCGCGCCGCCTCGCGACCGGCCGCGCTCGCTTCGGTCGCTCAGGCTCGTCGTCCTAGGCGCGTCCAGGACTAGTCCAAGACTCGTGTGTGGGCTCAGCCAGGCTACCCTCGCTCAACCTGAAGCTGAACTGTCTGCTTGTCAAACGAGCGTGTACGTCAAGCATGTATGAACTGTATAAAGGGCCTGCATAAGCCCACCACGCCTCTTTCTTTCACCACCCCTCCTCTCCTCTCTAACCCCACTAGCACCTCCGTTTAGCGTCGGTCGTCGCGGCTCGTCCGAGCTCGTGCTGAGCTCGTCCGGCGCGGGCGGCGGGCTGCGTGCGCGGCAGTCCCATCCGTCTGGCGCCGGTACCGCCCCTCGTCCGTTCGCTGTCGTGATTCGGGGCAATATCATCAGACGGCGGCTGTATTGGCCGTCGGCCGGCGCGGTTACGGCCGCGGCCGCGCGTCGGATTTGTCGCCCGCGCCGCGTCGGTCGCACCGGCATCGATGCCGTGGCGCAGTGACGGCGGTGATGGCGTTCGATCGGCGAAGTGTGGACTGCCGACGGCGTTCACGCGGTCACCGCCGGACGATTTTGGCTGCTGGCTAGCGTGTGTCTGGCCGATGTCTGGCGTGTGTCTGGCCGGTGTCTGGTGTGTGCCTGACCGGCGTCTGGTGTGTGCCTTACCACTGTCTGATATGTGCCTTACCGGTGTCTGGCGTGTGCCTGGCTGCTGGCTGGCGTGTGCTTCGCCGATGTTTGGCGTGTGCCTGGCTGCTGTCTGGCGTGTGCTATATGTGTGACCGATGTTCGCTGCCTATCTAGCAGCTGATGAACTTCCGTTGTGTGGTAGGTGTCCAGCACGTGACGTTTCGTGCCCGGCCGTTGTTTGGTGGCGCTAGTAACCGAGGTATGGGTTACTTGCTGCCTTGTGCTGCCGACCTGTCTGTGTGCACGGCGGTCCTGCGGCAACGGAGCACCGGATTTGTGTTCAAGTCTAAACACAGATCCCGTCACGAAGAGCAGAGCACGACGGCCCTGCGGCAACGGAACACCGGATTTGTGTTCAAGTCCAAACACAGATCCCGTCACGAAGAGCAGAGCACGACGGTCCTGCGGCAACGGAGCACCGGATTTGTGTTCAAGTCCAAACACAGATCCCATCACGAGGAGCAGAGCACGACGGTCCTGCGGCAACGGAGCACCGGATTTGTGTTCCAAATCCAAACACAGATCCCGTCACGAGGAGCGGAGCACGACGATCTTTTGTCGTGGTAAGATTTTAACTTTTTGCAATCATGCTTCGGTTTGAGAGAGCACGACTGCACGGTATGAAGTCTCGGAGCGCTGCTAAGAGTTCAACGGATGCTTTTACGGTTGATTAATTACGTTTGAGGCCGTCTCGGCCGACTTAGAAGCCCAGCCGGAAATCAGCTGTCGCCGACTAGACGTTATTGATTCGCCCCGGTCTGTGGGCGGTGCGGGAGTAGCTTGGTTTGTGCGGCCTCCCACTCCTCGTCTCCGCCGGCGGTCAGCCGTCGACAGGTCCGGGTCGAGAATTGCGCCCTCCGCCGATCGCCCACATTTATTACGGCCATAATTTAATGACAGTGTAGGTTTTCCTCATGATGCGGACGTAATTCTCCAGGCCCGGCCCATTGTAGCCGCACGCCGTATACTTACGACGCACTCATTCCACCCGGACACACAACGTGCACTTACCGTCGCGCTCACGCCGTCCAGCCTCCGATAAAACCGCCGCCGAAGCCCGGGGGTCGCGCCGGGCCGACACCGCCGCCGACCATTAATAATCAATTACCCGGCAGCGGATAACAAATACGGCGGGCGTCGTTCTTTGGCCCAATCTCGCCGCGGCCGGCCCCGCCGCGACGGCAGGTAATTACGAGAGCGGCCGGCTGGCTCCAGCCCCGCCGCATTCCGGGCCGGCGCAAGCTGAGGGCTCCCAGCTGGCTGCCGCGGCGGACAGACGCCGCGCTCCGCGCGTCCATATGGAAATGGATGGGCCGTCGGGCGCGGCCCAATTGCTGTTAATCGCTGCATGGTGCCGTGTTCGCCGGCCTGAATCGCCGCTGGTTCTGGGCCGCGCGCCGCGCCGCCCACCCCTGTCCGGTCCCGTCCGGCCCTCGGTCGACCCCACGTGTCGGCGCGCACCCGCTCGGGAGTATGCTAACGGCGGGTCTGTGCGGGCCCGCCGCGGCTTTGCATCGTGACGAGGTGATCGGCCAAGTTTCGCCATCCCCCCTCGCTGACTCGCGAGCCTCTCTGCGATATGAGCTCGGAGATGTGGCGCAGACCACTTTTCCAGCGGCTCCAGCGGGGTATTGGCATGTGGTGTCAAAGGATTTCGCTAGCCGGCGGAGACGGATAGATTGCGACAAGGCGATGGAGCAGTCGTTATTGACGGGAGCTGTAGAGGCATTAGAAGCGAGGAACCGAGACGACGCAACTCACCGATGCTGGCAGCCAGGGTGGCACCTGAAATAGAAGGCAGAGGTCAAAAAGTATGCCGGCAGGTTGAACGGCGTGCAGCTTCCTCACAATACAAACACTGCATACGAACAGCTTCTGAGCGATCTGATTCACCGTGTTGAACGGCCTATGCGTGGTACTACATGCCGACAGTGATATGAATCGACACAGATTGCATTGTCATTGAATGACTGAAACACATATGCGCATAAAGAGAGACATATTTAGAAACTTCAGGAATACTAGAGAGACGGCGGATGTGATCTATCCCCCCCCCCCCCTCTGTGCGTTTGCCAACACTAGCACAGTTCGTTCTTTCTGAATAGAATACTAGACAAATTTTTGATTTGTCGGAGAGAATCAGGATGATGGTCGCGGTAAAAAAAACTTGTTTCCTTTCCACAGCTTACACTGTTACAACTGTAAATTTGGACCATATTATTGACATTGAATGCGCCTATCAAAGGGGAACACAATTCACTAAACCACATATAGAGCCCATTCCATCGTGGAACCCGTAGGCGATACAAATCTACTGCCACCTTGGCAATGCCATGTGACCAAAACTTTAGAGTCATACAGAGATATTGTTTTGACAAGAACATACTTGTAACTCAACGTTCTCTGATCGATAATCTGGAAGAGTAAGCTACAAGGCTTCCACTAATACTACACTTGCTAATGACCCTCTAATCTACGCTAACTCTAGGCCAATCTCCTCTTACCCTCCGTGACCTGGTCTGACCCGGTCTCTGAAGCGAGATCAGTGGCCGAGTCACGTGACTCGTTGTGTGGTGCTGTCGTGGCTGTCGGCTCGTTTGGGCCAACGGTTGACGTAGAAACAAGGTAACCTGGTGACAGCAGAAACGGAAGTAGGGAAAAAGAGTCGGAAACAACATGCCAAGAGAAGCAAAGCAAAAAGAACGCGTTAAAAGCATGTCAAAACAAGCAAGAAATAGAAAAAGGAAACAAGATAGTCATCTAGAAGCGCAGAGAAACCCCAAAAAATAAATGCAAAAGCAAACAAATAAAAGGCGGCGAATGAAACATTTGCGTGTTATTGAAAGAATGGTGCAAAGCCGAAACATTTTGTCGTATCTTTCGAGCTCTGAATGTTTCACAGATGGCAATGAGACCACCTATGATTACCCAGAGCAATCCAAAGTCATCAATCAAAGTATAAACACCTGAAGATTCCCCGCAGTCTCACCCCGAAATGTAAGCGTGTGTCTCAACCTATACCCAGGAACTGAAGCCGTCAAATATCGGCGGTATTCGAGTGTTAGAACGTAAACTGACAGTTCCCATGTGAGTGCGACTGGAAATGGGTGTATTCCTCTAGCTGGGTCTGGCTGAGCTGCAGTCCGTGCCAGCTGACCCAGCGAAATCCAGTGTACTTGTTTATATCCTCCCCAGGTGTTGCTTAACCTCATCGCATTGTACTGGGGCTTGACTTGTTTCGTCGCTTCTTTGGCACTTTGGATCGGTCTCTTTCAAGTCAAACCAAGTCCGTAAATGGCCACCGAACCGTCTCGACAGTCTCCCTACACTAAAGGTCAGCTCTAAATGCTTGGTTCGTTGTGCTGGAAGTTACATCGGTCAGATCCCATTCAACCATACCACGCCGCCTACACATGCCCGGCGCCCCCAGCGGCTGCTCCGCTGTGATCGGGCCTGTGCCGGTCTGCTCGCATCGGGAAGATGCGCCGCATGCCCGGGCCCCAGTACTGTCGGAAGTAATGCTTCGTGTCAATGCCAAGTCAGCTTTTCCGGCTGTGCGCGACGGGTATGTGCCGCTGTAATGCCTGTTTTCTGCTGCTTGCGCCGTATGACTTGAGTTGTCACGTCGGCCCTTTGCTCGATAAATCCTTGTTGATCCGACTCTTTGCCTTCTGTTCGTCAAACCCAGCCTTTGTTTGTTAGCTTGTGCGTGCGCTTGGCTGAGGTGGGCCGAATTAGTTGCTCACTCAGGGGTAGATCAGATCGGTAGCGGTTGTCGGCGTTACATGTGTGCGGCTTGTCAGACGCGTCCGCCACCTGTGTCAGCTGGTGACACCAGTGCGCCATGCTGTGCTTTATTTGTCAATCGGAGACGGCGCGCTCATGTGCAACACCTCCTACCCATTGACCCTGCGGTGACAGCTAACAGAGCACGGCAGCTGGGGGTGAGGGGTAAGGAAGCCATTTCAATAACGACACCGCTGCAAAAGCCGTCGGCACTGGAAGCCTAACAGCCGCCCCGCACTGTAACTCGGGGCTACTCCAGCAGCCTCTCTGAGGAAGTCCGCATGAATAATGCATCGGGAAGCAAAGTGAGGCTCATCTAGCAGTTCCCGGCATGCATGTTGCAGATGCTTGCAAGCCAGAAGCAGCACTGTGAAAGGTAACCCATGAGAAATGCAGGGGTGGGTGCTCTAGGTCATAATCCGGCCAAGTTTCCACGCTCTCCTGCCATAACATTTCGTTGAGATGCTCCACACTGGTTTGAAGACTGTCTAATGCTGCTGCGTGAATATTTATCGGGCGATTTATCGTCATCAGATGAATGTGCCTTAAAGGCTTCATGCAAGACCCTTCAGTCTGAATGGATTCCGTGCTGACTGCCCTCCTTTTGCTTAAATGATGCAAATCAATGCGGCAGATCTACAAAAACAATATATTCCCCACGAGTATAGTCACGCGAAACACCAGAGCACCAGTCAATCTGTTAATAACGTCATCCCAATTCCGTGGCAGGCTCATCGGGAAGTGGTAGTGTGCGTCATGTTACCACAATAACGGGAGCAGCGCCTTTAGCTAGGCAGTGCCGCCTTAATCTGGCACATAGCCGCAGTGAACCCGCGTCAAAACACCCAGCTAGACCCCCTGCCCCTGTACCTGACCTGTTCAATACCCTTGAAACCAATACCGTTCGGCCTGTGGGTCGCGCGTCAGCCGACCTCGATTGATGGCCCGAGGCTGTTTGGACGGCGTGACGCCAGCCGGGATTAATTGGCTGCGGGCGTGTGTTAAATGGGTCATCAGAGACGCAGCGGGACACAACAAGCCGGCCATCCAGCCGGCAGCATGGCGGGCATCCAAAGACTCATCTCCAGCCAGCTCGGAGCCAGTCAGAGAGCGACTGGGGTCTTGATAACACGAACTGTGTTACAAAAAGTCCATCCACTTCCTCCGTATGCGACATTCTGTTCCAAGAACGGCAGTTTCAGCACCACGGTTAGCACTACTCATTTACGTCATGTGATAACGCCGGCGCTGGGATTTGCTAAGCGCTGGCGTAGTCACATCATTCGCTAAGCTTTTTGTGCGTCGTCCAACATGAGCACATTCGCACATCACCCTGCGTCCCCAACACAGCCTCGAACATCGCTGACACACTGGCAGCCCTCCAGACACCCTCCCCGCGGGCGCCACCGCGGGCACAGACGGCCCGCCGCTCCCCGCAACGGCGCACGCCTGCCGGCGGCGTCCATCGCGGTGGCGTCCCCGCCGGATCAGGAGGGCGCTCCGAGCAGGGAGGCAATAAGGCCCTCGGACGGCGGACACCTGAGCCCAGATTGGATGAGGCCCCTGTCATGGCCCCAGGCTGTCAGCGCCACCTGGCCAGCCCTGAGCCTGGCTCCTGTGGGGGCGCGCGACCTGACACGGTCCGACCGCACGTGACCGAATGGGTCCGCAGGCAGGCAGGCTGTACACATCAGGGGCTGCAGGTGAAGAATAACAACGTGACCGACTGAGCCCGCAGGCAGGCAGGCTGTACACATCAGGGGCTGCACGTGAAGAATAACAACGCCATTTATAGGTGCAGTCATTTTAAACAGACCATAGTGGTATTGTCTGGCTCCCTCAATATATATGTACGTGCATGCATATATATATATATATATATATATATATATACGCATATGTATCTATATGTATATATACATCCGTTCACTGATACCCTTTGCTGTTCGTCAGTGCTGCCATCGCCGTAGCCGAGGGTAGAACATTCCATACATTTAGAGGGGCTAGGATTTAACATCTCTGAGCTTTAATTTGGATCCATGGTCGTTGCGTGAAAATGATTGAATAGCATCTTCACGGGCGCAAATCCGAACGGCATGCAGAGCCCTACCATGCCTATGTCTGCTCGGTCACAAGCGCTGCTTCGGTTTCTGCCATCGTCCAGTTTGCTGCCTCTATCACTGCCTCTGTCTCCGGTCTCCTTCGAAAATGTATTTCATTGGTTTGTCTCTTTGGCTGTCAAACCATGATTTTGTGTCTGTTTCAGAATCTGGCTGCATCTAACTCTTCGTCTGACTGCCTCCCACTCTGTCCTTCTCTATCTCTCTGTCCCTCTGTCTCTCCGCTGCAGCTGAGGCCATCTCTACTATCGCTGTCCTGATCTATTCTCATTCTGTTTTGACGATGGTGTTAAATTGTTTGCTTGTTTGTTTACGGCATAATGCAGTTCAGTCCGGGACGAACCGAGAGATTCATCCTCGGACAAACGGCATACAAACTACCCTGCCACTGGATGCGAAAATCGTTCCCGGGTGAATTGGGAGAAGCTCCATTCAGATAACAACGAAATCTCGAAAGCGCAGGAGAATAAACATTTTGTACGCAAAGCCAATTCTGTGAGGCAGCCTGAAAACCATATTTGAGGAGACGACGAATAAACAGTGAAAAAAAACATCGTGTGCTTCGACTGATCTAGGCTTCTATGCCCGGAATGATTACAAAACATGCCTGATGTATGAAAATCCATTGCCCGGCATTTCCGTGCAGTGCGACGGTACCGCAGCTAGCTCGTGAAATTCTGGGGATGGATAGGGAGAGAACACAGGGATGTGTGCGTAAAGTAACCCGATGAGTTTCAGGATTAACTACCAAAGTGTGTCAGGAAGGTCGACTACATTCCAGTGCGTTACAAGTAATTGGACTGACGTGATCGGAATAACGAAATTGGAGTGTTAGATCAGTTCATCCTTTTCTGGGCTGTAGCCATTTGGACAATGGTGTTGAGCTGTTTCCTTGTTTATTTAGGGCTCAAAGGCAATTCCGTCCAGTTGGGATTGAGAGATTTATCATCTGACAGCCGGCATACGAGCTACCCTCCTGGAAGATACACAAATCCTTCCGGGACAGAGTTGTGACATCATGAGTGAAGGCTTGCTCGGAATTTGTGCTTCCACGTTTGGTAGTTTTGGGTTTAAAGCATTTTTATCTTTGAAAAAGGTGGTTATAACTTCCATGGTTAGCGGTTTTTATCTCTTCTAGCTTCCTCGAAGCCTTATCGGTGGTAAGCGTCTTCCAAGCGACTAAATAACGCTAATTTCTCGTATCCCTAATCTACACTTCTGAGAGGTTTTCTGGGCCATTGTTTGGCTTAAGCAGTGTGATGTGCATTTTAATTAATCTGCTACTTTTTAAAAGTCACGTCATCCAAGGCCAAGCTGGGTGAAGCGTTGAACTTTGTCACCAAATATGACCTTTGCAGGTCATTTAAATTTCGACTGCACCTATCACGCAGTTTTTAAAGGAATTCCTACCTCTGTTCTCCCTCTTTACCAGACTTGCATAGTTCTTGAAATCGCCGGATAGGCCAATGCAACAATAGCTCTCATCCCTCTGAACCGAAACGACGTATTAAGGACCATACTCGTCGAAGTCCATTATTGTCCATCCGACGGAGTTTTTTTATACGCGCTCTATCTTGACCCATGATCTGGTTTTTCCTGTTTCACCCAGTCGACACATGTAAAAAGGCTTTCCATGGCATGCAAACCAAAAGAGCGGAACAGTTATCTCCGATTAGGTGAACAGATCTTGATTTCGCATTGCCTTGACCAACATGGCACTGACCTTTGGCCTTTAATAGCATTACCATAGGATTCTACGCTCGCTCGTTTGGTTCGTTCTGGTGCTTGCCAACCGCATTCATTGTTGAAACTTCTTGGAGGAAAGCACACTCACCAGAGTTAAGCAGGTGGCTCACCGGTGTTGGACCGGTACCGGTCCCCCCGGCATACCGGCGGATCCTCTCACTCAGCGTGACGTCCCGAGCGCCCCCCCCCCCCCTCCTCCTCCTCCCCCGCCCGCCTACCAGGCCACCGCGTGCCGCCGGCGCATCTGCACGGTCGTAATGGTGTCTAATTACTGCAGCCGGCCCACCTGGCACGCTCTTCCCCCCTCAGCCCCGTTGCCGTCGCCTGCCCCGGCCCCCACGACGCGGCGTCACGGCCAAAAGCCGCCGACCCAGCTGGGCTATTCAGGCACATGGTGTGCACGCTACACTGTCTGTAACCTGTCCAGGGGGGGGGGGGGGAGGCTGGTCCGGACATGTACGAGCCGGAGATAGGGCGCACGGCTGGTGTCGCCGTGTTCGCGTTCTCGTTCACAAGCCTGTTGGGTTGTACGGCAGTGGGGTGGGTTATGCTGTATCTGGCAACAAGGGGTTACAGGGTTATTTGAAGGAGTTGCGAAGTTTCAGCTTTGATTTATGTTTAGAGATTCACGAGTCAGTTTTTGATGATCGTCGCGGCGCCAAATGGTTCGAAGAATTTGTCGCGTGCGACGAAGGTTGATTTATAGCCAACTTTCCTCACGCCGACCTCGCGTAAACGATGCTATTCGAAAGAAACACGCATGATGCCCAACTTCAATGACCTCGGAACAATTATGACATAAGGTTCTACAGCTGACGCTTTATTCCTATTCAATGGCGAGGAAGTGCCGTTGTTTTAGGGTCAGGGTTGCATTTCAGCCTGCTCATTTGTCTCCACATCTGCTTTATCTGCGCTTATTTATGGCGTTATCCATCATGCGTCGAGGCATTTGAATAACACAAATCTGAGTCGAGGCAGCAGGGCGTAGGCCACCAGGGTCCTGAATAACGCGGCTTCGTCACGACATCCCGTCACGAAACGCTGTCACAACATCTTAAAGTTCTGCCACTTCCGCCGGCCAGGCCTGTAAGGAACTGTGCGCCTATCTATGCGTCCTCTCCAGATGCTGAATCTGCGAAGGATTTCGAAGATCGCAGTTTCTTCTATAGTGTACCACGATATTTTCGTTGGCTGAACCTGCCGGACTGCATTGAACGGAAGGCGACGATGGCTTTCGCTGGGTTTGGGGAGGTGAGAATAAGCTCGCAAATATTTAATATGGCTTCACAACTCAATCTGCTTGCTACAGTACTGGGAGGATGCGCCCTCACGGCAACTCGAGGCACTGTGTATCATAGCAGGCCCATTCGGGAAATGTATCCGTTGAACATCAACACTGACATCTTGTTATGCAGGTTTCTGTCGGCTCATGCCTGCTGATATCCCCTAGCATTCGCCCGTGCCCGCAAACGCCAGTTCACGTCCGCTGGCGTCCATTCCACGTCCGCCCCGTCCGCTGTTGATCGCCAATGCTGGCCCCCGTCCTCCCCAGTTCGCTCATGTCCGCTCATGTCCGCCAGTGTTCGCCAATATCCTTTGATGACCGCCGGTGTCCGCATATGTTCTTTGCTGACCGCCAATATCCACTGATGACCGCAAATGCTCATCCCATCCGCCAATGCCCTCCGACGACCGCCAGTGTCCGCCAATGTCCTCTGATGTCCGCCAGTGTCCGCCAGTGTCCGCCAGTGTCATCTGATGTTCGCCAGTGTTCGGCAGTGTCCGCTCTCGTCCGCCAGTGTCCGCCAGTGTCCGCCAGTGTCCTCTGATGTTCGCCAGTATTCGGCAGTGTCCGCTCTCGTCCGCCAGTGTCCGTTCTCGTCCGCCAGTGTCCTCTGATGTCTGCTCTCACCCGCCAGTGTCCTCTGATGTCAGCCAGTGTCTGCCAGTGTCCGTTGTCGTCCGCCAGTGTCCGCCAGTGTTCGCTCTCGTCAGCCAGTGTCCGCCAGCGTCCCCTGATGTCCGCCAGTGTCCCCTGATGCCCACAATGTGTCTTCTGATGTCCACCAGTGTCCGACAGCGTCCGCTTTCATCCGCCAGTGTCCGCCAATGTCCGCCAGTGTCTGCTCTCGTCCGCCAGTGTCCGCCAGTGTCCACTGATGTCCGCCAGTGTCCTCTGATTTCCGCCAGTGTCCTCTGATGTCCGCCAATGTCCGCTCTCGTCCGCCGCAGCCCGCGTGCCGACCAGCACCGCCCGCCACCCACCTGACGCGTAGGAGATGTGCCGCTGCAGGCGGTATTGCGTCTCCGGGATGGTCATGACGCACTCAAAGGTGGTGCGGCCCTCCAAGCTGCCGTCCTCCACCAGCGCATACGCCACGGCGTCGAAACGGCCCTCCTCGGTCGCCTCCGTCCGCTGGATGACGTTGCTCAGCAGGCGCCGCCTGAGGGGTGAGTGGTGAGGAGCTCGTGATATTTGATGGAAGAACGGCTAACCCACGATTCTGTGATAATCGGGGCTGGGTTTAAAGATGACGAGTGCGTTACGAAGCGGCTATTTCGGACTCAGGGGCCACTGGGTCTTTGGTGGGCTAATGTGAGACCTCTTTGCATGGGGTGAGTGTTCCTTAGCGCCAGGTCCGCTAAGGTCAAGGTCAAGTCAGTTATTCATGTATTTCAATATAGTGATATTCAAGTCAATTATTCAATAGGTCAATTAGGTCGAGGATAGAGTAAGCATGTCAGGGATGCCCAAGTTCCGTCGGCACCACCGGGAAGCTTCCGGATCCCAGAAAAGCGTTTCCAGACATCTGCATAAGCAACCGATTCTCGTGTGAAGCACATTCATCCAGGCTTATTTCCAAACGACAACCATCGGGAACGGCAATAATATGTAAGTGACGGTCCCTAGCTTGCCCGATTTATTTTCCACTTGATCGGTCGGCCATTGGAGCTGATGGCATCTTTCAAGGCAGGCAGCCAAATTTAGAAGATTGATCAATGCGTAGTTTGTATTGAATTACGTTGCTTGGAAGCTGAGCTGTATTTTAAAGGTTTCAACTAAGCGGCTTCTAGTGACGGAGCAGATGGCGTAGTTCTAACGACTTGGCATACGGACTCAAAGAACCAGCCAAGTAGTCGATAGGTTAATGGCTTTGCATGGGTTAAGAAGGATTTGATCAATCTGCAGCCCTGCATAGTTTAAACAGTGTTGTTTATTGCAACTGAATCCATTGCTTTAACGGCGGGTGTGCATCATTCATTTGGGTTTTCAGCCCACCTTGCTCAATCAGTAAAAACAATAAGAGTCACTTCAAATACTGAGAACATTCAGCCACCCAATCCAGCAGCTCCCTTTTTGCCGCTTTTCCCGGGCTAATTGATCGCCTTAAACCAATTTGTTCCCAAGTTGTTCCAAGAGCTTCACCTTATCAAGTAAGCGTGTGTGTGTTTACCAAGTTTGTGTACGGTGTTTTTCTTTACCGACTCCAGCTGTGGAGGACGACGTTGAGCTGTCACCTCGATGCTACGCCATCCATAGTACGGGACGGCCTAGATCACAGGCCATTCAAGCTTTTCTCAACAGTGGCAAGCATATTTGTCGCACGGCCATGGCTCTGGTGAAATCTGATCGGCGATTAAGCGGCGAACGCGATCAGTGATAGTCACAAGCGGTTGAACATCCGTCAAATCATGACTTTGTTATGTGTGCTACAGATGGGCCCCTTAACGGTCCCGTGTGCGCGACAGCTAAACCTGCTGCGATAGGTGAATCCGCCATACGATCTTGTCGAGGGTGATATACCCCATCTGAAGTCTGAAGGCGGCCTTGAGCCCGCTAGCTTGTTTCCATGGACGTGGTCCTTGAGGTAGCCCCACAGCATGAAGTCCAGGGGCTGCAGGTCGGGTGAATGAAAGGTTGCGGCACGCTCATCCTCAGGCTGATGTGCCTTCCAAGGAAATGCTGCTCCAACGGGTCCAGTGAAGTCCGTGATGTGCACGGTGTCGCCTTGTCCTGCTGGAGGCACTGCTCGCCAAGATCGATCCCGCGAAGCCACCCCAGGGCGACCCAGAAGGGTATCAGAGATGCGATGTAGCGCTCCGTGGGGATGTTAACAGGATTCACATGTTTGTCTTCACAGAACCACCTTCTGTACGGTAATGCTTTGACGGATGTTTGATCACTGATGACTAGCATCATCTTGAATAATGTTTTCCCATTGAATGGGCATTCAAGCGACACTACAGTCTCGATTATGCGAGAAACACACTTGTCGCTGTTAAGCGGGGCGTGAGCTGACTTTCTTCTGGGCCACCCTGTATACACGGAAAGGTTGAATTTCTCATGAAGAACACCCAAAGAAACACTATGTGGATGTGCGAATTGTCTTTGATCCTCGAAGACTTCTGACTTTAACTTGGATGCCATTTGACATTGTAAGCTCTTGCAAGCTCAAAATAACCTCTTACTTTAGTGTTCTGCAAGTTTCATGGTATGCTCTTAAAACCAAACGCATACTGAATCGTTCGCAGCTTATCTTAAGTATATGTAGTCATGTGGACGTTTGGTTTAGAAAGTGAATTCTGCTACAGAGGAAAACCTAGTGTTGCTTTCAAAACCAAATGACCAATTTTCAGAATATATGAAGCTTAATGGCCGCCCATAACGAGCTGGAAGTAATGAATGGGTAGGAAACAAGTCTTGCCGCCGTACTGGTACAGCATGAGCATTTCTCGGGAGGAGAGAACGATCCCAGGTAGTTAGGCAAGCCGCGAATAAAAACACTCGGATTATTGCATCTAGGATGATACAAACTTTTGTCCTCTGTCTGAATTATGTCCCTTCTGTATTCTTCATCCGTGCAACGAAGTAGCTTAGTTGTAAATTTGAGTTTACGACCAAAGTTGCCACAACTCTTGCAGCGCGCGGCATCGTAAACACTTCTGGAAATGACACAACTTATTTGATTTAGTTGTCAGGAAAACAGCAGTTTCCCAACAGGAACTGACCATAGCACAACATTGTCTCTGGCTCAATAGGATGATACACAGTTGACAAATCCTGGCTTTTGCAGACGGGTTTGCCCCGAATACGTTTGTTTAATAAGATAAGGGTAACTCATGCATTCATGCCCAGAACAGTGAGATTTCATGCTCCGGGGCGCCACTGAAAAACAACTTATCACACACACCAAGTGTCAACAACGTACACTATTGGGTCAAAACAGTTAAGACACAGCATTTTCACTGATTCCAAGCGCACTATATGGCTCCCTCATAAGCAGAGTGCATCTGGAAAGTTTCCGTTTCCTACACCGTCCGCAGACTGGTCCTCACCCGTCTTCCTTGTCCTCCCGCTTGGCGAAGACCTCGAGCAGCGGCGCAGGGAACACGCCCTCCACTACACAGGTGATGTTGACCGAGCTGGGGGACGGCTTGTCCTGCGTCAGGTTCATCGCTCGGGCCGGCGCTGAAAACGGGCGCCGTGAACGCCTGGTCAAGACAAGAGTAGACGACGCATGGCGAAGACGTAGACTAAACGACATGGGACACTCGCACAGCACAGCCACAGCAATGCAATGCGCCATGGATGCACGCACTGGTGAAAAATGCTACGCAAAACTCTTCAGACACATTGAAGCTTGACCGGATGTTTAATTATAGTTTAAGATCGAGGTTGCGATCATGGAAAGTTTTAAATTACATTCATAGGCGCTGCGACGCCATGGATTATTCAATGACAGCTCTAAGGTCTGAGCGACAATGACGAACGCAGAGCATGTATGAACAGCAATAATGTTCCAAATGCTTGCAAAATGGAAATGGATTAAGAAAGCCAAAGGGTACGACAGGTGAGCAGAGTGACACCGAGCAATTAGACTAGCTCAGAAGGTTGACTGCACCAGATTTCTGGGCCGTCCCTGAGATGCCAAAACGTCATGTGGCGTCCGAGCAATGCTGTCGCCCTCGCCGACGCCAAACGGTGCTGTCAAGAGCCGTGGCCAGGCGCCAGCGGGGCCAGCAGGCACATCCCGCCCCATCGACTGCACCAGCGGGCCGCCGAAAGTGACATTTTACTGCGCGAGCCTTGCCAGGCGCGCCGCGGCGACCCCCATCACCCGCCCGCTCTGCAGTCTGGCGGCTCGACACGACGGAGAAATCCGCCGGGGGGCGCGCGGCGCCCGCCGCCGCATCGCGGCCGCGCTTGCCGCGCCGCGCCGGAGTGCAGACACCGGCCGCGCGTGCCCCGGCCCGCCCCAAATTACACGGCCGTAATTGGCGAATGACTCGTGTGATCGGCATCTGCAGTGGGCCGGCGCGCCGCCGGCAGTCGCCAGCGTCTTGAAAGCCAGAGCCCCGGTGGAGCAATCCATTAGCGGCGCGCGCCGCGCGGGCCGGCGCAGGTGAGCGGCGGGCAGGGTCGTGTGGCGACGCGCGGCCCCGCCGGCTCGTGCCCTGCCCGCGCGCTGACGTGCGCCCAGCTCGTAATTAATGACGGCGCAGTTCAGTGCGAAAGTGAAATGTGGCCCATTGGCACGGCACCCTGGCAATCGACAGGTCGGTGGCAGCCAGCTCCAGTCGGTAATTTCAGCCTTTGATGAATAAAACAAGTTGCAAACAAGGTGGCCCGTAACGTTTGATTACAAGGAAGCTCAGTGTCGTTAGTCACTGATATGATATGCAGTCAAGGCTTAATCAACAGGCGAGTGCTCAGGGCATCGAAAAGACGGATGTTCATTAGGTGCGCTCATTGTATGCATAGTCCTTTAACAGTTGTCTCGAGGGAGACGATGAATGTACTCGAACTTCGTTATGAATGCCACGGCAGATCGTTCTCATAACAGAATACATTCTTGCCTCGGACGAACTCGTGGCAAACCTCATATCGCGAGCATAAAAAACTCGATCAAAGCCACGGTCGTATTAAATGTATTTGAACAACCGATGGCTATGTTTTAGGTGCGCAGTCACAATCTTGTCACAAATTCCTCCGAGCAGCCAATCTACGAGAGGCTTTCGATCACGATCGGTAGTAAAACTTCCTAGTGACATGCGATTCGAGTTAATATCCGACGTTATCGAAGCCGTCCAGCGCCGGCTAATAGCACACCGAGAGGTCCGCATCATATTTTGATAATAAAACAAAGAATATGTGGTAGTTGGAAATTGAATACGCTCGCTACAGTCAGATTGTCCCGCCCGCCATCTCGCCTTGATACCGGCTGCTCCCCCTCCCCCTCCCCCTCAAAAGGCCGCGGTGTCGAGAGCAGTTCCGCTACCTAAAATCTCAGGTCAAAAGTTCAGTCGGAGTGCGAGTTCAGCGAGAAGATGACTGAATGAGCTCTCGCGTGCCGACCGCAGCACAGCCAGAATGTCCCCGGAAGTACGCTGGTGGGCGGGCCCCTCGCACTGGAGTCTGTCGTCGACCGTCTACGGTCTGACGGAGATGGATGGCCGCCAGCGGCGGTCGAGCCGCGGTGATGATGTGACCCGGAGCAGCGCACCTCCCCCACAACAGACCGACTGCCACTGAGGTGCCGGAGAGAGGTGGCCTCGCCGTCGTAAGTCCGGGAGCGACAGGTTTTCGCCGAGGTGTCAGGAGAGTCCGGTCCCAGCGTGGCGTCGGGAGAGGGAGGCCACCTCAGCGGAAGTAGCGGGAAAGCCTGGCGGTCTAAAAACACAGTCGAGAAGTTTACGTTTTCCAGCAGTGGACAGGAAATAACAAACACTGAATCCTCTCTAGAGAGCATCACAAACCGATTTTGAGCTACCATCTCCTCCAAGGTCAGTCAGGAAGTCCGTCGGTGAGTTGTCTTCCCGCCTCTGGTATTAAGGCAAAAGTTACGAGACGCGACCGATAGGCGGAGCGTTTCAGGTAAGCACAGCCTTCGAGCTAACTCCTTGGCGCTTCAACAAGGACCCTCAGATGAACCGCTACACCTCCGGGGATTCTCGGCCGGGACAATCGAACTCCTGCGACGTCTACCGGTCACATCATGACATCTCAGTAATGAAAAGCCTGTACGGGACCAAACTTCTCAAACTCGCGCTCGAAATGATGACCCAGTTACGCAGAACCCTTCCCCGGAGGTCTGCGAGGCGCTGCCTGGCCGCTGACCTCACCGACCGCGAGCCCCAGCTGTACCCAGCGCCCACCCGAGTTGGCAGCGCTGCCCTCTTGGCAGGGGTGCTCGTCCTCGGGCGGCCCGCTTGTTGGGCGCCGTGTGGCCCTGCTATTATTAAACCCGGGTGTCCGACGACCGCACTGCCGCGAACGCCGACGACTCGCGTTCGTGGAAGGGGCGTCGACTCGCTGATTCTGCCCCGTGCCGAGTGGCCGAGTCCCCCGCCGACTACCAGAGCGAGCCGGCCGACAGACAGCACTGCTGGAAGACGTGCTCGCCACCAGCCTCCTAAGTCGCCGCCGCCCTCCGCAAATGATGAATCATGGCCGCGCGCGCCGTAATGAATCATTGTTATCGCTGCCACCTGCTCGGCGCCCGTGAGGGAGAGCCCACGCCGCTGCCTTATCACGTCTCGGACCCGGTACCCCAGCGAATCCTGTGGAATTTCGGAGGCAGGCGGACAAAGGGTGCACCCCTGACCCCGCGTCTCCCGAGGGACTCCCAAGCCGTGCACCGATCCCGCGTGGCCGGCGCTTGGCAGCTACTCACCGTAAACGATCATCTTCTTGGCCTCGGTGACGACGCCCGAGTTGGTCATGACCCTGCAGATGTAGGTGCCGCTGAGGTCGACGGTGGGGTTGGAGACGCTGAGCGCGCGGTGCTTCTTCAGCAGTTCGGGCGACGCCACGTGACCTAGGTGCAGCCTGCCCTTGAGCACGCCAGACCCAGCCGGCTCCAGGCCCAGGCCCCACTGGTACACCTGATGGTTCTCGTCGCCGAAGTACCACTTAACGAGCAGCAGGTTGACGCCGTCGTCGGGCAGGTCGTACACGCAGTCGAGGATGGCCGTCGAGTTGGTGTTGTGTTCCACCACTTCAGGCACACGCAGCTCCGTGATGTTCACGCTCTCTGAAACTGAGCCCACCGCACTCAGCTGAGGTACACTGACACGGCTTGGCAGAACGCAGAATCGATGGAGGGGGGGGGGGGGGGGGGGTCGTCGCGAGCATAGCCGCGGAATTATTAACACCGGCCCCATACGTCCTGTCGGCAAATGTGCTGTGCTAGATCAGTTCGCTGCAGCTGCAGTGCGTACTACAAAGAATCCATGAATACATAAATACGAGACCGAATTCAGACGCCGTGCGAAGGGTGATACAGTCGGAGTTCAGCTACCTGCAATTCCCACTGGAGCTATTTGGACCCGTAACCAGGAAGTTTTGTGATCCCGCCAGGGGTTGCAGCTCTCCCTCAGGAATTTCGGTGAAGGTCAGGGGTCAGCACCAGCACCACCCTGTATGGCGGAAGTCTGCAGGACACGGATTTAAAGGTCAAAAGGCGCGAGGCGCATCTTAGTATCACGCCCCAGGCGGCGGATGCCCGCGGGCAATTTCGACGCGGCGCACGGGCGGTAATGACCATTGGACGAAGCACGTGCGACGCCGCACTGCCGGTGGCGCGTCAGGCACGCGGGCACGCTCCGCTCCGAGCCGTGCCGGCGTCCGGCGAGGCCACTTGCCCGGGTCCCGGCCGGCCGTGGGCGGCGGGACGCCGGTCAAGGAGTCGGCGCCGTTATCCTTTGCTGCAGATCCGATGTCCTTGCAGCACTGTCTCCGGGTTTGGTCGATGCCGGCCGGGAATGGTTTTGGCGCGCGCAGCGCTGCTGTCCAGATACCCGCCATCAGACGAATAGTGCACGAGGTTTGGCGTGTTCGGTGTTGTAGCTTAGCTCGGTGAAGCAGCCCGCATCATTTCTACGACGACCGTTTATGACAGTGCGTCGCATGAAATGCCCAGACACCACTGCATCCCCCGCCTCCCAAAACACGCTGTTGCCCCATTCCAGTGTTGGCACCAACTTGAGACAGACTCTGAGCAAGATGGGGCCAAGATGCCTCGTGCGATGTTGTTGAGCGCCAGAGGGCGACCGCCGCCGCACAACGGACAAAAACCGGACAAAAACCGAGACCGCGCCGGACAGTGTAGTTCCCAGCGGAGCCCGACCTGTCCTCGTCTCTGTTCCGCACTTCACAGCCGCCGGGAATCGTTTGTCAGCGTGGCCGCCCCCCGGGCGCCTCGCCGAGATTATCTGCCGGAGCTGTGAGACGGTGACGGACGGCGGGGCTGGCGAGGCGCGGCCGGCGGCGCGGCAGGTCCCTCATCAGGTCCCTCATCAGGTCCCTCATCACGTCGGCACATGCGGCCGCGCTGTCGGGCGCTAATTGATTTTCCCGGGCCGCTCGGTTCGCGATTAAACTGTGGCAGAACGGCGCAGCCCAGGCCGAGAAAAACCTGCGACCGCTCGCCGGCCTCCGAGTGGCACCGTTTTTTGCCGACGCAGTAGCCTTCCCCTCGCGGAGGCAGCGTTTAAAAAGCAGGAGAATTCTGCCCGAGTGCAGTGAGCTCGAGCCATTGTCGCTGCGCCGGGTTTCGCACCGCAGCGCCAGTGAGCGGCCGGCCTCAGGCACCCCTTCCCGGCAGGACCCCAGCCTATCTGGCGATCGGAGGTGTGAGCGGGGCTCGTACCGGAGACCCGCCGCCTGAGTAATGACAGGGACCCTCCTGAAGGAATGTCATTCCGGTCACCTGACGGGCCGAAAAACTGATGGCGAACAGTGGGAAACACGACCTGGCCCCAGAGACAGTTGATCTCGCCCTGATAGCGCGACAAAAACAAGATTAAAATGACAAATGAAGACAGTTTTGTGAGCGCGTGTTACGTCGGGCTGTTTGGTCTTGGCGGGATGGCTTTGTTATGCACACACAACAAAAAATATCTTGCAGCAAATCCGAATGAATGCGCGGCGAATGAGCGCTAAAGATTTCATTGAAATCAAACCAAATCATTCTGACTTGTTTGCAGGGCTTCCGCGCTTTGCCTGTATCCCCTGCAAAACGAATATTTTTAATATTATGTAGATTTCGAGGATTCACATGGCTGGACCGCGTGAGGTAGGACTTTACATGTTGGAACGGCCGAGGTGAACAACAAAACACTCAACAGAATTCCACCAATTCCCCCACCATAGTCACGTTCTCAACCCCAAATCCCTTCCCGCACCAGCGCCGAACGGCCACCCGTGCGCAATTACAGCACAGACCACGGCGTCGACGAAGCCCTGCTTTACGTTCGCTTTACGAGCCTGCGGGCATTGTACGTGATTGGTCAGCTGGGACTGGCGGCCTCGTGCCGGGTCGACCCCTTTGTGTCGGCCAAACGACACCGCTCTGGGGAGACAGATCGGGACGCCGGCGAGCTGGAGAAGGCCACGGATGAATAGAGCGGCGCAGTAGATGGAGAGATAAATGGAAAACAACCGGCTGGGGAAGAGACCGGAGGAAGAAGGGCGGCGGAGAAGAGGTGGCATAACAGGTGAGAGAGATAAAGAGATAATGTAGAAGAGATAAAAAGAGGGAAAGAGAAGGAGAGAGGGTGGATAAAGAGAGACAGAGAGACAGATAGGTAGAGAGGGAGAGAGAGAGAGAGAGAGAGGGAGAGGAAGAGAGAGAGAGAGAGAGGATAGGAAAGCGAACAGAGAGGCATCAGAAATGTCCCAAATATATGATTCAAAGCCATATATACGGGAATTTAAATACCTCATACGTGGAAAGATCATCAGTTATGGCAATCATCAGCCGTATCATCAATCATTCATATCAGAAACAAGATCACAAAATAATTTCAATCAGCCATGCATAATCACGACCAGGCACGCATTGAGATTAATCATCCGGCGTTAAAATAAAACGTCGGCTAATAACAAATGTCTCAGTTCTGTTCAAGCAGGCCCGATTTTCCCAGTCCATGGACAGCCAGAAGATCGTGCGTTGTTGGCTCTCCCTCCGGCTCCCGCAGAATGAAGACACGACCTGTCGCGGTCTCGAAACGTCGCTGCCTCTTGGCGATGCCAGTCCCCTGCGGTCCAGGCGCGCGCGGTGCGCCTCTGGCCGCCGCCGAGGCCGTCCGTGGACTGCTGCAATCGATCACCAGATGGAGCTGTCCGTGAGTGGCGGCTGAGCTGACCCGGCGTTGTCATTAGAGCAGCTGCCGAGCCGGGCCACGGCCGAGGTATTCGCCGCGGACAAAAGGTGCTCACCGAGCGGCCGCGTCTCGCTCAAAGGGCCCCGGCTGTTTATGTTGCGTAATTACCGCTGGAATCTCAGCGATGAGCGCTGATGAGACGGGTGAATGGACTCCAGCCGGAGATGACTGAGCTGGAGTGAAGTGGAGATGACGAGCGGCTGGCCGAATACTTCACCTCGCAGGAGCTCGCCGGCACGTGGGCGGGGTCCAGCTCGCCCCATCTGCGAGCAGCTGCCCTAGGCTGTTTTTAAAAGCACAGTGATTGATATCAAGGTTGAGTCTCGACAAGCACGACTGATTATGTTATTTCTTTAATTTGATTGAAATTAGGAGCAGAGCCGACAGACCTTTGCTAATTCGTTCCGAATTTTATTTATTATATTCATACTTTGAATCGGTGGCCAAGTTCAGGTAGCATTCGGCTGAATTGTCTCCGTATCATTTGTAAACATCAGATGTGTGTATGAGACGAGACTTATAGCGAACTACGTAATGTATCACGTCGTAGAAACTGGCTACTGCGACGAATTCAAGGATTTTGACATTGGCAGCTTCTTGACAGCGCCAGTTGGTAAATAAGCCTTTTTTGGAATGGCATGGGTTTTGTCTTTAATAGAATAACAAGCATGAAATCATGCACCAAAGTGATTCACCTCACAGCGTGTGGTTGATGGATCGTCGGGAAACTTGTCACTGTATGACAAATATAGAGTTTCACGTTTAAGAAATATGACTTTGTGACTTGTCGCTGCCGGTCAAGTAGCAAAGGAGCCAGACTAGCAAGTGGCGGTTTGTGATGAGGCTGCATGGCATGTTAAAATATGGTGGCCAACATCATCTGTTGAATTGGAATTGCAACACTGATGACAGAGAGTCTCAGTTTTCGAAACAACGTTTGCTCTTCCACTGGTCGATGCCAAACCCGCCTTGTAAAATGCTCCGACAAATTCTGAAAAATACATCAACACGACTTTGGGCGGGTATGCTCCATGACAAACGCATTTACACGTTCAGAAGTTACAGCATCTTTAACTCTTTAAAAACACACAAACGTTACCATTGGAAGTACGGAGTGAATGCTCAGAGTACCGATGAACGTTCACCGACAATGTGTTTAAACACATTGCTGTGTTTATGGGCTGGTTTTTCGATTCCACAAAGGAAAACTCCCCTGTGAGCTGTTGGTTGAAATGAATGGGTTTCCAAGGCGGTAAATATGCGGCTGCAGTTGGATGCTTTTTACGCGCTTCCCCTGCTATAGGAGCTCGCTGGACGCGGCTTATCGTGCACCTAATACCAGCCGGGTGGTGCCTTTTTATCCCAGTCATCTACCAGAACGATGATTAATTTAGGATGAACCTAAACACGTCTGACCCTTGGTGTGACCTTTTGAAGTCCATTATCCCAGCATGTAAACCTAACAGACTAATTTAATCACAATTAGCCAGCATGGATGCGCGCCTCAACAGCCGTTAACCGACCCGAATAGCATCGCACGCTCATATCGTATCCACTCTTCAGGCACGTGACAACCAATGCTGGAAGCCCACTGGCTCCAGCCGGGGCGGCCATGGTCGTCGGCACGGACGGCGGGTCTTCCAGTGCCTGGAGCCGCAGCCCGCCAATCTTTCCGTGATGGATTGCCATCGGATCGTTTTTTCACCGTTATCCAGACCCGGTGTGTCGTTTGTTTCCCGCCGGCTGGTCTCATCAAGGTAGCGGCTGTACTGTTTGACCCCCGCCCCCGGCGCGAGGCGCCTGCCCTGCAGCCGGTCCCGGCGGAGGTCACCGAGGTGGTTAGTTATCACTTAGCCTCACACCACCTCTGCAC